ATTCATTTTTAGGTTTGACAAGTGTACTACGGTTACGTAAGATAGGACCTTGGGGGAAGCTGGGCGATGGGTATACAGGAACTCTCTGTACTATCTTTGTCACTTTTCTGTAAATCCAAAATTATTCCAAAATAAAATTTTTGTTTAAAAAATGCATAGAAAAATAAGGGCAAAAGACAGCCAAGAAAGGACAGAAACACAGAGTTTCATAATAAACATAGGGTTTTGTACCTACCAAAACAAGTGTCCTATGTTGATGATAATTTAAGAGGGGGAGTTTTAAAGTAGGAGGTAGTAGCTCACATGCAATAAAATAAGGTAAATAAGTAAAAATGACAAAGCCTAAAGAATAATGGGCAGTGGATAAAGGTGTCTTCTAGGGTATTACAGATGGAATTATATGCCGCCGTAGCCTTTTCTGAAAAGCAGTTTTGCAATAAATGACAGAAGCCATAAGTTCATAGCCTTTGACACGGTAATACCGTTTTAGCAACCTCTACCAAAGCAATGATTTAAAAGAAAAAAAGCCACCTATTTTTATGAAGTTGTAACTCTGCCCTGTAGTACTGGAAATTGTTCCTATGGCCACTGGGTGCCTAGACAGATTATGGTGCTATTAATTAAATGGAATATTATAATGGAATTAAGAATGATAAATCTGAGAATTGTGGAAAGGAATACGTGAAGTAGTTTTTTAAGAGCTCAGTACATGCAATGTAGTATCCTAGATTAGGTCCTGAAAAGGATATTAGTGGAAAAAATGGGAAAATGGGAATGAATAAAGCCTATTTTAGTTAATAATACGGTATCAATATTAATTTTTTAGTTTGGATAACTGTCCGTGATTATGAAGATGTTACTATTAGGGAAATGTATATGGGAACTCAATATCTTTGGGACTTTTCTGTAAATCTATAATTATTTTAAAATAAAAGTTAAAGAGCTCAGAATTATATACAAACTCATGCACATACTGCAATCAACTAAAAAGAAATTTACTGTATATAAAGTTAGGTAGGCTCATAAAACACTGTCAGAGTTCTAAAAATACTTTGCCTTCGCAGGAGTGGGGTGGCATGGGGGGAAGGGTTCATTTATGTCGCTACTTAGATGTTTCACTGAACAACTGATTATCAAGATGCTCTGACTCAGAGCGGCTGGGGAGAATTCTGAAGGATTCATATCCTGATAGTCTAAAAATGACTTTTATTTTTCCAGCATCTAAGTTTCATTGAGGGAGTAAGGAAGACATTTTCTATAATAATCTTTTGAGTAATCATTCCTCGGGGACTATATTTAGAATTCCATCGCACATGAAATTAAATATTTTTGTTTCCTAAAGAAAGGATACCTTCTGCTTCTTTGCGGGGCACTCAGTTCCTGAGTCCTTGGCAAATTGAAAGAATGGAAAGGGTTAACTAAAGATACCCTTTAGATATCTTTAGATCTATCGAAAGCTTGAACATCTGGGAACCTAGATCTTGTCACTTCTGCCTGCTTAGGTGCCCCAGGCAGCATTAAACAGGCGAGGAGTGACTAAGGGGGCAGATGGGGGAGGCCAGAGGGTGGTGGCGATGGGGAATACCTCCAAAGTGGCCTCATCAAAGTCAGCTCTAAACCAATGGACTTGTTCCAAATTTGTAAAAAACAATTTCGTTTAGTGCTGTTGGAAACAGCATTGAAGGATCACCTTAGCCTTCCCTGCAGGCTTTCCCTTGGTCCACTTCCATCAGGAGGTGGAGAGATTTGCCTCCAGAGAAGGACAGCAAGACTCAGTTTCCCCAAAGGGACGCCATCTGTGTGGGGTACCTCAAGTGGGCAGCTCGGCCAATCACCAGACACACAGATGAGCTCCACTCCAGCCCCCGCTTCCTCCTGTTCTGGCCCAACTTTTATCATAAGCCTGGTTGAACTTACACCACTGAGGGATGGTCTGAAAAAACCTGCATTCCACTTCTAGAGTCTAGGGTTCATCTCTGCCTCAAGTCAGACGGGGAAGCTGGTCCACGCTGTACTTGAAATGGGTTTGTCCTTTGCTTCCAATGAGCAAAATCCAAACTTCTATGTGTCTTTACATAAATTTGGAGTATTGTTAAGCACACTGATCACATTGATCGATGGTGGCCCCTGAGTGAAGCCCCAAGGGAGACTTTTCTTTGGACAGTCCAGTGAGCATGGGCTCTGGAGCCAAATGGCCTGGCTTCAAATCCTGACTCTACTAGTTAAGTAGCTGTTCAACCTTCTATGCCTCATTTTCCTCATCTGCAATAATGACAGTCAGCCCCTTGAATTTCTGTGAGGATGAGAGTCAACAGCAACGAAGTCTTTAGGACTAAGCCTGGCAAAAAGTTAGCACTCAATAAATATTCATTATTACAAATATTTTATGACAGAGCACTAGAAAAACCATTATATTCCATAAGGAACTGAGATGCTTTTCCCTCATGCACAGTGTGATTCATAGAAAGCAGGGTTCTGAGACCCTTTTCCCCTCCCAACAGACTTAGGGTCCTCAAGAGTGACAGTGACTTTCTATAGCACGGGGCACCTTCAGAATCTCGGGTGCGATGGGGGCAGTTAGAAGCACGTGTAGTTTGCAGAGGTTTTTTCAAGATTCTGAGATGCCCTTACAGGAATTCATGCCATTTACCATAAAAGTCCTCAGTAGAAATAATCACCTGGAGGTACAAAAATGGACCCAAAGGTCACTTTTCTTAACTATGCCAAGTCCTATGCTCTGAAAAAAAGTCCTATGCTTTTTCCTTCTCCCCAGTCTGATCTGTTCTAACTCCATGTACTGTCCCAGTACAGACAGATGCACTGATTCTTCCCTTATGTTTTCTGTGGCTTGTAAGTGCTTTCATAAGTCTCCTCAGATCTTTTATAGAACAAAGAAGGATAAAAAATAAATAACACAATACACATGCTCTTTTGTTTACAACTAAGTGCAACTTTAGTTACTTCTAAGAAAGCTGAGCCTCCTTATTAACATAAACAAATTCCTAATAGGTGCTAGAATAGACACGTTGGGAACAGAACAGTGGTAGATCAAGAGTTCAGTAAGCAATACAACTGAGGGGGAAAAAGAGAAAGCACCCTCTTAGGTAACAGCTCAATTACCTCCAATTCCCGCTACCCATTCAATCTCCGTTCCATGCATCACCCTTCCGGCCCACTCTTGTCAATTTCACACTCAGCTTTACAGATATCACTGGCCCAGCCCTTCCGGGTGGAGAAAAATATTGCTGCTGCTCGCCCTTCCTCCTCCAGTCTTTGCTGATAGCCCTTATAAAACACTTGGTAGCAAAGCAAATTATTCACAGCCTGCCTTCCTGTTTTACTAGGTCCCTTCCCTTCCTTGCCATAAGATTTATCTTTAAAGGCCAGGGTTGTCAGAGGCCAACCAAGAACTTGTTCAGAACACCGCTGGCTCTGGAGCAGCCTTAACCTGATCAGGCTGTGCTTAGAAGGAAGCTGAGCAAACTAGGAGCAACAGAGAAGCCCTGGGATTCTTACAGAACCAATGGCAATGTGGCAGCTTCCGGCCAGGGAGCCAAGGTTTTGAACCTGCACTGTGTTCCCCACTTGACTGCTGCTACAGGAACCTATCTGCTGTTTTATTCGTAGACACAGATCTACTTTGGGATTCAGAAAAATATCTAGGTTCAGCTACATAATTTGCAACTGAAAATGAAATATGCAAAATGAAAACACATGGCCCCCTGTTCAAAAAGCAGGGGGGGGAGAAGCTGTAAAAAGTATTAAGACATGAAGCTTTATCCTTTCTTCTGCATTCTCTCTCTCAACTCCTAACGGTGTTTTTTGCTTGTCATTTAATGTCACCCTCTCTCGGGCACGGGGATACTTACAGGGTGAGTGCAGACCATCACAGGCTGCCCACCGCTACAGACCATCAGCTGCTAGGCCGACGCACCACGTCCTGGCCAGGGGTGGGGAAACTGAGCCAAGAATCCCCCTTTCCCGTGGACTCACCACCCCAGCCCACAGCAAACGGATGACCCTCTGTTTGCAACGCCTGTGCCGGGACACGCTAGGCACCTGGATCGGGAGTGGGCGGGGCCTCACTGAGTCACCCGCGAACTCACTGCGGTGCTGTCCGCCTGAGCTGGGCAGGCCACTACTTTGTCCCCTCCTGGGACACCATGGAGTTTGTGTACCCGGCATCAACTCTCCCCAGGCTCACACCTAGCTCCCTAGAGGGGTGGAAGGCAACAGTAACTGCTGGGTGGGGGGCAGGGATGGGGAGGGGGGCAGGGCCTGAGGTGCCAAGCAGCAGGGGAACGGGCAGCTGAGAAACACTGCGCAGGTAGGGAGGTGGCGGGACTGTGTGTAAGGCAAGGCTCCAACCCCCCGGGGCACACTCCGCTGCCCCACTGCACTTCATCTACAGAGCACAGAGTCAAAGATAAAAGTATGCAGAACGTCAAGAGAGCAACTGCACAGAAAAACACGGGGCCCTGATTCTCCGCGCAGGGCCCTGTGCAACTGTACAGGTCGCATACCCGTCAGCTGGTCCTGCTGGTTCCCCACCATGAAACAGGCCTGTGTTTAGGTCAGGAATGAGGAGGAACTTTCGCTTTGCACAGGTGCGAGGCTGCCCTGGAGGAGGTGGGTGTGAGGGGTCTGTGGCACCTGTTCACCGCCCCTCCCATGGCACTGCAAGGCAGAGCCTGGCTCATCTTCAAAGGCTTCTGAAGCCCACCTGTTCGAACGATAATTTTAACTTATTGCGATGCACAAAGAACTGATGTAGTGAGATACAAGCAGAGTCGTGATGATTACGGAAATCCTCCCAAACCTAACTTGGCCGAGGGGTTTACTTTAATTGTTGGGGAGATTAGGAAAGAGAGAGGACTGAGGACTAATTCCTTATTAAGTGGCTCTGGGTTGATGGTTTGTAAAAAACTGGGCCGTTATCCAAAGTCATTATTTTGATGCAAGAATATTAACCTGGTCGCTGAAAGCACTTTCTTACAAACCTTAGCTTCTGGGTCACTGTTGATACTACAAGAATCATCATCATCAGCATGTGGGGCATTTCTAGAAAGAAAAACAGAAAATTGGACTTAGAATTCTATTGCAATCTCTAGCTGCACAAAGCCACTCATTACGGCAGGTGCTCTGAACGCCCTACCTGAGTTTCAAGGATGCATAGCGCAGTGTTGCTCCTTCAAACTCTTTTAAACTGGGGTCCGGGTTGACTGTGGCTGCATGCAAATCCTAGAGGAAAAGAGATCCCTGTTAATGTAGAAAGGGGAATGACCCAGTACATGGCCTCAAATATCAAAGGGGAGAGAAGTCCTCCCAGCACGAGGCAGAGAGTGTATGTGAGCTTAGGCAGAAAAAGGCATGCATGGGCTGCTGATGCCCGTTTGGTGCAAGTGCTGCTTCTTACAAGACAACAGGAACCTGGGGCAATCAGCCTGAAGTCATTCACAATGGGAGACATCAAAAAAGGCGACACGTGTGAGTCCCACAGCCCTAGCCAGAAGCCCCATCACTCCGTCCCTGCAGAATGCATGATATTCACAAAGAAGATGCAGCCACAGCCATGCAAAAAGGACAAAATATTAAATGAGCTAAAATCTGACAATATACTTGCCTTCCAAATGTCACTATTAATCTTTCCCCCATTCAGAACAGCAAAATCACTCCATGGCTGTTTCTAGACATATAATTATTCACAAGGAAAAAGCACATTGATTTAAAAGAAAGAAAGAAAGAAAGAAAATAATAAAGGATAGAAAAGGAAAGGGAAAAAAAAAAAGAAAACACACACACACACACACACACACAAGACACTGTTGTTAGCATTGATATTCACAGGATGGGTTAGGGAACAAATTCACTCTAACGGCAGCATGTGAGCTCGCTCTCCCTTGATCTAGATCAACACCTGAGGCCTAGGGCAGGAGGAAAGAGAGGGCGCTTTAATTACTTACCAAAACAAATGGCTGAACGTCATTACCAGACATTGAAGTTATCGATACTTTCTAAATGTGGTCTTAAAAGCACACACTATGCATCAAAGTATTAAATGCCCAGCGTACCTAATTTCACAGGCACCTTTTTGTCTCCTATTAACCAAACAGAACTGTTTTCTTGAGGTGGAGGTGGAATTAGGGATGATGCTTGTCGATGTGCTGGATGGAAACGGGAATGTCCATGGCTAAGGCCATAAAAAAGCTGGGGGCCAAATTATTTTCACTTAAAAGAAAAAAATGGCAATGACGGAGGGCAAAGAACCCAGCCTGACCTCATCTTGCTGAGATTTAATCTAATAAAAAATAGCTCTAGACAATCTAATGTAAATTCCTCTTGTTCGTAAAAAACTCTACTTCCTTGCCACCCAAGCCTCTTCACAAATGAATATTCGATCACGAAATGCTTTTCTAAACATAGTTATAGAACAAAGTGCAAAGCCTTGCCTTGCTGGGCAACCTCTGACGATAGACCTTCGAATCTAAACAACTCCTTCCTTTATTCACCTCGGACGACAACAGAAACATTTGTTTTCTTTCTACTATATTGACTGAATATTCGAATATTTTTCACGTGACATTTGGGGAAATAAATGATACTAATAAGACACCCATAAAGTTCATCCTTATGAACTTGTTCCACTTGTCAGGAAAATCTCTTTTCTTGAATAATAAATCAATAAGAGGAACTTTTCCACTAAGTAACTTTACAACTGAAGTTCTTTGAAAACGAGACAGTAGTACTGACCCATAACTTCTGCACACAATACAATTTTTAAAGCCACTCAAAGCAAGAAGCAGTGAAGATCCAATGTCCCAGGTGTTGAAAAAATGCATTTATTTGGCTCTGAAGGGCTCTCTGAGGGCATGGTCATTGCAAACCTGGATCCATTATCACTTCTACACAGTTGGTGTAATTGTTGCTTTCTTTGCTGGACTAGGCACCCAACCTGCAGTTTTTCAAACTAAAACAGAACTTGGACCACTGCTGTTTATGTATTTTTTAAAAATAATCTCTTTTACTGAGCACAGAGCAGGAATGCTGCCCAGCGCCTCACCTCTTTCCTCACTCCATCCCCAAAAGCAGCGTTCAGCTTTTACTGAGGAGAAAATATTACAGGAAAATCTTAACCTGTCAGCTGTGGTGACCTATGAACCCCCTGAAATGGATGTGGGATTTTGTGCAAGTGTATTTTATCCCCAACTTTTCTGTTCTCAGAAGGGCCAGTGACCGAAAAATGTTTAGAGTTACCATCATAGGGGGATTAATAAACACGCATGATAAGGACTGGAAATATCAAGTACAAAATAAAATTTTAAGCTAAAATTTCTTTTTAAAAAAGAAAACACGCCTATTTGGTCCCAAATCGTCATCATCATTTACACGTGAGCATTATTTGGTTTTCATTTAGGTTGAACTTTGAAAATGTAATCAGATGGTGAATTGGGAAGATTCAAGATAATTGTGCTCTTGTGAAGACATTTTTAAAAAGGCATGTGTGTCTGACAAAGGGAATCTGATATCAGAAACTATACCCAAAAGACACTGTGTTAGGACTACAAAGAGTGAAAGAAGAGCATTTTTTAAAACAAGTATTCAGAAAAGGCTTTGGCATTTTTATCAAACACTTCTCTATACGTGTGTGTTTAAATTTTTTTATGTATTTACTCTCTGGATGTAGGAGTCCCTGTAAAGTAAAAGTTGATTATGGTTCTGAGACCGCATGGATCTAGCTCTCATGCTACGGAGACAGGAGTCAGCTGGCAAACTTCCAACAATCAACTTTTACAGATTTAAATAAACAAAGGCCCTATACAGTGATTTTGCAAAACCTTAAAATATCGTAAGTATTCCTGAAGAAATCCTTTAGCACAAAACTCAAGCAAATAAAAATGGAAACTAACATTACATGCTATGAACAGGCCAAAGACCTTTTTTCCTTCCTATGTTTAAAATTTTCATTGACATCAAAGATGAGAAACTTTCTCCTCCATTTAAGTGACTATTATTTTTTAAGTCAAGGGCAATGAAGGACAAAACAGTTTGTCCTAAATGTTAAGAACGATATATTCTATTCATCTATTATTATTTTTTTTAATTAAGAAGAGAGAATACAACATTTTAGCTAATCATTTAAAGAAAAAAGACACCAACACAGATGCTTGGGTTGTACAGAGAGTCTGCAGTCTGGGTGATGGGAGTGAGAGATGAAAGAAGAGACAAAGAGAAAGACAATAAAAGAGGAAAAGGCAGGCGAGCAACATGCCCCAGGGAAGACAGACACAAAGAGAGGTAAAGGAGAGTAGAGGACGAACAGGGACCATCTTCCATGGGTAACAACCTCCAATCGGTCATCTCTCAGGCAATGCAGCTAAAGCCTTGCACAGCTGAGAGATGGTGGCGTCAGAGTTATGGCTGGGGACACACCCTCCTGGTGCTCGTCTTGACCTTGGCCAGGCTGCAGCACCCCTTATCCTGATTACGGTGATGACACTCAGGTTCTCGAGAGCCCTGGAGCCCTAGCTCCTCAGAGACAGTGGGGACAGACCCAGTGCCTGGAGCACGGCACCTGCCATGACCCTTCATGACCTTTCAGCATGGCACCCTCGTGACCTACTAGGGGAATCAATCTGACGGTATAACCTTGACTACTGAGAGTTTTCTTCTTCCATATTTTTCTTCTGGGATCTTAGAAGACTTCCCACCAGCGTGTGGACACAGTGAGGTCAAGAACATGAGCCCTTAGCCCAGGGGCTGGCTGCGTGAAAGTGCCCAGGAATAGCAGTGTCCTTATCTCTGCTAAGGCATTTGTAAGAATAAAAAGTTTGAGAGCCTAGGGACTACCAAGGGTTATGAGTTATGCTTCGTAATCCTCTTTTGTCAAGACTTGAGCCTTGGTATGTGTAGCCTTGATGATAAATGGCAGAGTACCTGGAATTCTGGAATTCCAAGGAATAGGCCAGTCAATGTTAATAAGCACTGTATCCACATATGTGTGTATATTTTTTCCTTCTTTTAAAACTGCTTTCCGTGTTTTGCTGGATGCAACACTATCAAAAGAACAGTTATGGTTTATGATGCAAATAAAATCCAGAGAAGTTAAAAAAAAGAATCTAACTGGAAGACAAACTGACAAATGCTTGTGCAATTAAATTAGTCTCTGTCAGCAGTAGCACTATTTACAAACTAGAGGAGAATCAGGAGACCTGGGTCTCTAGTGCTGGCTCTGCCGCTACAGCAAGTCAACTAAGAGCTCCCTCCGCTACAAAGCTGGTTTATTCCTTCATTCAGCAAACATTTAATGAACATTGACACGTACCAGGCACTGTGCCAAGTGCCGAGGACACAAGACGAGGCGGGCAGGTCCCGACACCCCCCAAAAGGGAGGCGGACGTGCCTCAAGTAACAATACTATAAAGAGACACAATGGAATAAAGGTTAAAGGGCTTTCAAAGCAGACGGGTGAGAACAATCCTTCCCAGGAGATGCTAGCGGGAAGCCAAAGAATTGAAGGGGAAGTGACATATAAATAAAAACAGGGAGACTGAATTTGCTAGAAGACCAGCTCTTGTACTCACTCAGAATTTCCTGCAACGCTTATGATAGAGGCAGATTCTCAGGCCCTACCCTTAGAGAGTCTAGCTCAGTGGCCTGGGGTAAAAATCAGGAAACTTAGCATGTTCTACAAGCCCCAGAGGACATCCTAGCCACCATCCTTGGCTCCCAGGCTGAGAAATACTGCCGTAGCATTCACTAAGCCCTTCTCAAAGGTTCTTGCCAGCTCTAAGATGTCATGATTACTTGATCAGGTCAAGAATTTCAGTAAAATGATGACAGACTGGCCCCTTTATGTTGTCATCTTATTTCGAGATGTATGTGAAAATCCATAGGATCTAATGCAATACGTGGGTTTTGCCCCTCCTGGGGAGTTAGCTGCTCAGGCCCCTCCCAGACTCCAGAGGCAATGCAGCAAGAACAGAGTGAATTGTGATCAACAAGAAATCATGGTCCTGAGAAACAATTCGACCTTCCCTTGCTTCAGACCCACTTGGTCCTCCATACTCTTATCCTTAAGGAACTTGGAAACACCTTCTGCTGGAAGGAGTCTACGTAAGGCTTGCTTACGGGCCAATAGTTATTCATTACAATATTTTGTGTAGCTCCCTCTTCTCTCTAAAATTCAACATCTAAGTAACTTGGAACAAACTGATGGGCTGGGGGAAGATCATCTTTGGGCCAAATTTCAGCAGCAAATGCTTCCCGGCCAGTTTATAAACTTTCAAAAAATACTGCTGGCGTATGCAGAGGGAACATTATGTGCTGCGCCTAACACTTCCCTGGTGAACTTTGGAATGTGAAATGTAAAATTTTCAAACTGTAAGGAAGCCCTTCCGTCCTAAACCTTTGTGAAGCTGAGTCAACAGATTTGGCACCTTTTTTTTTTTTTTTTAAGCCAGCTCAGGAAAAATCTGTGTAAGATGTGCGTTTCTGACGCGACATATTACAAGTTTCTTCTCGCCCTTAACATTTTGCTTTCTCTCATGTTTCCAAATTAGTCAAAATAGATTCTATTTAGGGACCAAAGAAATGGCATCAAAGATATAATCGTTTCTCTTCAACTGGTATTAGCACCTGAGACAATGTTATCAAGAGAAGTCATCTTCTAGAAAGTGCTGCATATGTCACCTGGAGTGAGATGAAGCCATTCAAGGCTCTCCAAGCCTCCATACACACACAGTGAAACCTGGGGTAGGGGCAGGGGCCAGCAGACCTCCATCCAGGCTTGACTCCACTAGGTATTAGGTGTGTGATCCTGGGCGAGCTCCCTCACCTCTCTGTGTGCGTTGTCAAATGTAAGAAGGTAATGACGACTGTCGTACAGATGCGTAGGGTTTTATGAGGAGTAAGGAGACAAGGCATGAAGCTGGTGCTCTAAACACTCGATTACCCTTAGTGCTTCTGCTTTAATATCCGTGTCAGCACCTGCCGGACCTGGGAACGCAGCAGTCTGTGTCTTCCCCCACCTCTCCCCTTCCTCTCCTCTCTACCTATCTGCTCATCCCTTTGCCCCTAGGATTTTAATGTATTGCCTTTTAAATCTGCTTGGTTCTTTGACTTAGTGGATGGCCTGATGTCCAGGGGAAAAAATGTACGTGAAGCAAACAACCGAAAGGTTGATCCAAAGAACATCTATCCCATTGGTCTATTTAAAGTGCTGGGGGACTTCCCTGGTGGCTCAGCGGTTAAGAATCCGCCTGCCAGTGCAGGGGACACGGGTTCGATGCCTGGTCCAGAAAGATCTCACATGCCACAGAGCAACTAAGCCTGTGCACCACAACTACCGGGCCTGCGCTCAAGAGCCCACGAGTCACAACTACTGAAGCCCATGTGCCTAGAGCCCGTGCTCCGTAACAAGAGAAGCCACCGCAATGGGATGCCCAGGCAATGCCACGAAGAGTAGACCCTGTTCGCCGCAACTAGAGAAAGCCCACACACAGCAATGAAGACCCAACTCAGCCAAAAATAAATAAATAGAATTAATAAAGAAAACTAAAGAGCTGGAAATGGGTCTCTCTCTGAAACTTCAAAAAACTACACATTTGTTACCATGTTTCTTGGAGGGATAAGGCTTTGTCCAACACGATGGCAACAGAAGAGAGGAACAGAACCATCCTGCCACCCTGACGCCACCTGCCTGGTTACTCAACTTGCTGAGCCTCGGTCACCTCTTCTCTTAAATGGTAAACATAATAGCTGTCATCGTGTCAAGCTACGTGTCAAGCGTGAAGAGTCTTGAAGGGGACAAATGAAGTGACGTTTATGAAAATACCCTGAAAGCCACAAAAAGTCATGAAGAGCAGCTGGGAGGCTGACCACTGGGGATGTGATGGAAACACTGAACTCCAGGAGAGCAAGTGAGGCAGGGCGGCCATAGGACACAGTCGGAGCCTGGGAAGGGGGGCTAGGCAGTGAGCGGGAGGGGGGTGGAAGCGGGCATGGACGGGGCAGAGCAGGCAACAGTGGGCATCAGAAGGTGGCTCAGGGATGAGAAGAGGACTCTGCTTCCCAATCATTATCCCCAGGGCCAGCAGCCCACCTGTGCTGCGTTCTTCCTAAGACTTTTCACAGAAAACATGAAAGTGAAAGTCTACCATATTAATCAAAGAAGTAAAAATCCAAGCCACATAAACCTCGGGATGCCCTCCTTGGGCTCCACCCCACCCACGCCTCGGCCTCAGGAGGCGGGCTCCGAGACAAACTTCATTTCTTCCACATACAGAGGACAAGAGATTCATTGAACAGAAATGGTATCTCAAAGTTAGTCTGATCTCCTCACCTCTGGACCAAGAGAAAGCAGGTCGGCTGAGATCTCAGAGCCAGGGAAGCCAAGGGAGAAGGACTCTGACCTGTAATTCAAGGAGGATTCGGGAACCCTGCGTTCTAGAGCCAGCGTGGCTGCTGGTCACTGGCCTCTCTGTGCCTCGGTTTCCCTGTCTGTAATGGACAGATACTGGTGCCAATGCCCCCTTCCCAACCGGGCATTCTCTGGTTGCAGGGCCCTCCCTGGGGGTGAAGGCGGTAAAGGCGGTTTACAATAAGGGGGATGGAGCCGTGGAATGGAGAAAGATTCTAACGGAGATGCCGAGAGCCAAGCAGTACAGGTGAAGAAGAAAGAGGGGCTCTGTGCCTCAGTGAGAGCCCAGGGGCGTCCTGGCCCGCTCAGCCCCTGGGAGGCCACTCTGCGGTCCGGGGAGAAATGCCAAGAGGTAACTGGGCCGGAATGGAAGAGGGCTCCACTTCATGCTGAGCTCCACGAGGAGCAGCCTGTGTTGGTTCGTCTTTATCCCCCAGCACACCTCACATAAGGCGAAGAAATCGACTGAATGGGATGTGCCCTGAGAGGAGGAATATTATGCTAATAAAAAGTTATCAAAATCACCCAGTGATAAGCAACAAAATCCTAAGTGATTCAGTGGAACTGAAGCACATACCTGATCATCAGGGCCAAGTACCAACAAACCAAGGCCCTGGTCTATCAACGGGGCCTATAGCTCGCCTCAACCCATCACTTGAAAGATGGAGAATCTGAGTCCCAGGTGGGGTGAGATGCCTAAGCCCAGTAAAAGCAGGAATGTGGCTGGAATGTAGGTCTTCCTGCCTCCCAGAGAAGAGCGAGTAAATAATGGAAGATGCTGTTTACTTTCAAAGACAGGAAGGGTGATAATAGCGGCAAATATGTAGAGAAACTTTGGGGTAAGGGATGCAGTTCAAATTCCTTCCATGTCCTCAAAGTAAAAGAAAATGAGTTGTTTAAAGAGCAGAAGACTGTGATCAAAAAAAGGCAGAAGTGCCCGTGTGTTAGGAATGAAACTTCTTTTCTCCAGCAAAGCCATTACTTAACTCTAACCTTTTCCCACTGTTACCAGGATTCACAAAGGTTCACTGCAGGGATTTTTGTATTAGTAAATACCACGATGGAATTTTTTAATGCCTCAGTTCTTTGTTTAAACATCAGATTTCATCCTCAGGGACAGAACAAATTTATGCTGCTAATTACTTCTAAAACAATGTCACTTCTGCTAAATAAACAGATCCTCTTTTTTTTTTTATTAGAAATTAAGCATTTAAGGGCTCTCAAGGGTTATTCCTGCAGACATTCTCTCCATGCAGTCAAATGAGCCCACAGATATTAGTAAGATATGCAGTAATTATAACACATCTGGCCAAGAGACATTCTTCTGTGTGTAAATATTTTATGGAACCAGCACCACGCAACAGCACCTACAGAGTAAATTACTGCCTCCACGAGCCCCAGGGAATCTTAACCACTTCTCATTAATCAGCCTCTCTTATTTTCTGTACCTGAAATGGTGTTTCAAGAGACCAAAAGCCATTAAAAAAATGAAGACATCCCTGAAAGATGGTATTAACACTCTTCACTAAGAGGAAGCATTTCGGTTTCAAATGCAACATGCATGAAAATCAAAAGCTTACCTGGATGACCTGTTGGGGCAGAAGCAATGAGTCTAAGGAGAAATCACAAGTTACATCCACTCTACTAAGCCATCACAAAGACACTCCATTTTACCTCGTTCTCTGGGGTGGGAGATGGCGTTACAGAACTAAGGGACCCTTTCCTAGAACCCTGGAGATCTGCTGGGATGGAGACAGGGCGTTCCCACTGAGTCGTCCCGGTTGGTATGTGCCAATAATAGGTCCCAGCGATGTCACTGATTCTTTTCCAGCCAGGTGGCAAATCTGGATCAGTCTGAAAGGAGTGATCACTCCATATATCTGCTGGAAAATGGAAAAAAAGTGAGGGTTTTATTCAAAGAGGAAACAATTACAGTCTTCCAATTTTACTACCAACAGTCAGGAGAATTCCACAGACAGATGTGTCCAGAGCCCAAATGAGAACTGAAGCCATCCTATGGACACGAAGTATGGAAAGAGGGGGAATACGGAAAGAAACATGGAAAGAACTGGAAGGTTGACACTTGAGAACATGGATATAAAGGACCCATCATCAAGTCATCTTACAGCTCCAAGGACCCTATGAACTAACAGGCTAAGGCTCCATTAGTCAGAATCAACTACCCAAGCAAAATTTGCAAGGTTACACACAAAACCTACTGTATCCCTTTGTACATTTGTAAGATTTACTGTTTGGGATCATATATCATTCCCAGCGATGAGTACAACTCTAATGTTCTTTAACTGCTTTCTGGATGAGTTACTGGATTTATGAGTACTGGATTTATACCTTTCATTTGCTTTAACAACTCCTCCCATTTGATTGTAAACATCTACAACGTAGCCATGTCTTTCGTAATACTCTAGCATTCTAAACTGCACACAAGATTCCCAAGAAGGGCAGACTGAAAAAGCCTTGGAATTCGAAAAGGAACCAGACTGACTCTAAAAACCGGCCAGTAATATAAATGCATGAAGGAGGATAGGTGTGGGATACAACAGAGAATGGTGAGGATGGTGGCAAACTGGTAAGCACGTGCAAAGTCCAAAGGCATTTAAATTCAAAAAATAATTTTTTAAGAACTGTATGTGTGTGGGGGAAATAAAATACACCTACTGGGCAATTTCAGTCATCCCTGGCTTATATCAATATTTTATTAATTTACTGGATAACTATTTGTTTTTTAAAAATCTCATTTTTGGCCTTCTTTGAGTTGAGTATGAGATGGATTAAAGTGCTAGAGAAGAGAGGAGAGACATAAGGAAGCAGAGTAAGAAATCCATAGAGAGGGAGGCATAATGGAGGAATTGCAGGTGGCTATTATCAACATACATAGGTAGAAAAACTTAATAAACTTGTGCTCTAAATCTAGGGATCACTTCATTCTAAGGATGAGGCCCTTTTCTGTGTGGTCATTCACAAGAGGCTGGAGCCTTTTCTTTTTCTTTGTTTTTTTGCGGTACGCGGGACTCTCACTGTTGTGGCCTCTCCCGTTGCGGACGGAGCACAGGCTCCGGATGCGCAGGCTCAGCGGCCATGGCTCACGGGCCCAGCCGCTCCGCGGCATGTGGGATCTTCCCGGACCGGGGCACGAACCCGTGTCCCCTGCATCGGCAGGCGGACTCTCAACCACTGCGCCACCAGGGAAGCCCGAGGCTGGAGCCTTTACAGCAATTTAAATGAGAAAGTGTGTGGGCCTTGCTCTCAGCAAATGTCACTGCATCCTGTGGGCTGGCGTCACTGAGGCTGCTACAGCCGCAAGAAGAAAAAAAGAAACCAAACAAAGAAGTTGATTAAGGCTATGGGCACAGATGTGCATTCATGCGGTTGGTTAGCATCCCAGCATTCACTTTTCTCATTTAAATCTGCCAGAGGCAAAACTGCCACTTGTCTCAAATTATGATGGAAATTTCCCCTCCCCCTACAGGAAATTAAGCACGATTAAATAATTTCAAGTTACCCAAATCTTTCAGAAGCAACTCGAAACAAACATGTGCATACACTCCTCTGTCCTGTCTCCGTTTTAGGGGGTGAGACGGTTGTTTCTGCTGTTATTTTGTTTTAAACATTTCAACTGGGATGGGAAAGGTAAAATACACAGGTCTTGGTATTAAGTTGGAGAAAACCCTACCAAGGGTGTTCCCTTGTCCAATTCTAGGAGCTCAGACAACAAGCTCGAGATGGAAACTAAAAGGACCTAAAGAGGACGCTAGTTACCGTTTCTGTTGTTTTTAAGGTCTGAGGGCCTGAATTTACACATGTATCCCCGTTGTCTCTACAGCTGGGACATTAGCATACACGAAGAATAGCTACGTAACACTATGAGAATATAAAATCACATCAGCACAAGGGCAGAGACCAAGGTCAGCAGTCTTCAGGTGTGGCTTTCCAAAGTGGTTGAGAGGGGCCTTGGGCTGCATGGCAGAAAGTGGTCTGTTCTGTTTCAACCAGACCCATTCACTTATATTTGGTTTATATTTTGAATTTCTGGTGAGATTTTGTTGGAATAAAAATTACAAGGTGGGTTATTCTGTTGCTGAAAATTGGTGATGATCAAATGATGATGATGAAGGAAGTGAGGTGGGCACATCTACAATATTATCAGCAGTTCAGAATTATTTATAGAATCCCTTCCGCATCACCCTACCCTGGTTGTAAGGGCAAGCAGACATTATCTCTGTCATGTTCACCATCATATTTCCAACACCTAGCATGGCAGGTGTTCAATTACAATGAGCTGGATGAATGGAGGATAGATGGTGGATGGATGGATAGACAGAAGGGTAGACAGAAGAAAGGAAGATAAGAAGGAAGAATGCACAAAGAAGGAGGGAGAAATAAGTGAATGAAGTCCTGAATGATGGGAATTGAACTTGGCCCTTAGCAAAGAAGAATTCTGAAGAAATCAGTTCTGCGTAGTTTCATAAAACAGAGCAACTTCACAAAGCTCGGGAATACTAGCTTCTAGTTAAGAGCATGTCTACTTCCCTTGAAGGCATATGTGAATGTTGTTATGGACAAAAAGAAATACAAGATGATAAACTGGAAAGAGTCCTGGGCTGGAGTTGAGATTTTGTTTCATTTTTTTATTGATAGGTTCCACAGGAACAGCAAGAAATATGCCTTCTGAGGTACCTCAGTGCCATTACACTTCATTTTGTTTAATCTTCAAAGCCCCAATGTGCTTTGTTTTCCTACATAGAACTATGTACACATTTAAATAAGTACCCTGGACCTTATTCAACAGGTCAGTGGTTTTCAAATGTTATCAAATGGGGGAGGAGGACAGTGGTGCAGGTAGGTGGAACTCCAGGCCTGTCCAGAGTCTTTTGACTGTTGCAGCAACATTTTTACCTGTTTTAAATATTGGTCTTGTAGGCATGATTTTCCTTGAAAACAGGGATTAGTTGAATGCTCACATCAATCCCACCAGAAGGTAAGAGTGGGAATAATAGCCAGCCAAGACAAGAAGCCGGGCCTTTCAAGGCTTAAACCCAAGTTCTCGTAATGCTGCCATGAGGTTCTCAGCAGCTGGTGACAACTGTGCTGTTATTAACAGTAAAAGTAACAGGGATGCTGATGTGGGCTGTGGGCTGAAACACCCAGCTGCTTTAGTGCTTCTCTACTGCAGGAGCTTGTGGAGTGCCCACTGCTGCCCCATGAAGGACACGCTATGGTTATCCCATTTCTAAGGCTCGGAGAGGACGGCAGTTTGGTTTAAAGCCAAGGGGGTAAACTATGTCCCTATGTAGAAATGGATGTTACTTTTTCAGAGATCTGAGAAAAATCAGTTGTGGTCAGCTTGGGGGAATTTAGAAGGGGTATAAACGGGGCGGGGGCAGGGGAGGGACACATAAGAAAGGACACAGTGGCTTCAAGTCTGAAGCTACGAGACCGGCCAGCTGACCTGACCAAGGTTACAGAGTTGGTGAGTGAGGGCACCAAGATTTGCCCTGGAGACTAGGTACATCCATGCAAGGACACTTCCAATATACGCGTTGCATAGGGTCCTCCCTTCCGTGTCTCCCTCTCTAATTCTGCATCCAGTAAACCCAGGCAGCCACTTCAGCGGGTCCATGGATCTGCAGCCTCTCCCACTGGAAACCCGAGGATCCTATTCCACACTCGGGCACACAGCAGAGACTGAGATCCCACCTAGTTCTCCCTCCTCCCTTCCCTACAGGATCTCACAGTTAAGAAGCTTTATGGTCTCCTGTCATGTCATCACTGCATCACTGCATCTTGCTGAAGGCGCCTTCAAGGAGAAGAGGGAAGTGGGACACGGTTCAGTGGTAAGAGCAGAAAGCTATAGATATCCTTTCTAAGTGGCTCTGTGGCCCACGTTGTCATTTGCAGTTTTGTTCCAGAAGCAGGGCCTGGAAGTCGGAGTGTAAAAATAGCGAGGCTGAGAGCCCCAGAAAGTCTCTCTTGTGCTGGGAGCCTCTTGGGCCAAGAGCAATACTTGGCATAGAAACAAGGAGCCCGTCTATGAGCAGCAAGGACCTGCCCCTTCCAGCCGCCTTGGGCGCCAGTGCCGCTGCTGGCCTGGCTCCACCTCTACCACTTCTCTCCTGCTCTCCTCCCTGGTCTGTGTGTGAAGCAAGCCTGCCTCTCATCACCCTCTCCCCTGGGTTCACTTGCAGGAACTGAAGGGTCAAATGAAAACGAATTAGCATCTAGCAGCAGCTGGAAATCTCCCCTCTTGCTCCGGAGGCCACAGGAAGAAGGGATGGGTGAGCTGGGATTCTAAATTTGGCAACGTCTGCAGTGCAGAGCACAAGAGGCCTCCCTCTGGCCCTCTTAATGGCACTCACTCCCTTCCTTGACAGTTGTATACCCAGTGCCTTCAGTGTGTACGGCAGGGGGTGAGCACCTTTCGAAGAAAGAGGAGACAGATTAACTCATTCAACAAATATTTCCTGTCTACTCTGTGCCAGGCATTGTTCTAGGGCTGGGGGGCACAGAGTTCATCAGACAGACCCGGGTCTAGCATCCGTGAACTGGGGCAGTGGTTCTCAAGGCTCACAGTCACCTGGAGAATCTGCTAGAACACAGACTGCTGGGTACTACCCACCCCTACCCTCCCGCCAAGGTTCTGACTCAGTTGCTCTGGGGCGGGGCCTGAGAATCTGCATTTCTAACAGTTCCCAGGTGGTGCTGATTTCTTGCTGCTGGTTTTGGGACCACACTGGCCTAGGAAAACAGAAAAGGTAATTAATCTTTTCCACCAAACTCCATCTAACTGCTGGCTCTAGAGAATAAAAAATGTGAATTATATTCAATCATTCTTTCATTTATTCACCCATCTATTCATTCATTCTCT